AAGAATGGTCCAAATGTTTTCTATTTAGTTCAGACCTGTGCTGCACGCAGACTAGACCATTGTTTGGACGTCACAAAATTTCTTTACTTTTCCAAGTTATACAAGTTTCAACCCGCAATACACATTTTTCTGGTTGCAAAGCTGGTAGAGCCTTTTTATACTTCATCTAGGGGACCGTTTGAATTGTTCATTGTATCGTTCTCACCGAAACGTTCAACTCAAATACCATTTTCATCCCCGATGCATAACTTCCGGAAAGTATATTCGGGCGTCCAATCCGTTCGACTTTTCGCTTCAAATATAGCGCTGTTGGATCTGGACCTATTACACCGTCAGGCTATCCAGCAGGAAAAGGTCACAGTTCACTACTGGTATCTAATAAAATGAGAGTCATTATTTTGTGACATACAAACAATGGTCTAGTCTGCGTGCAGCACAGGTCTGAACTAAATAGAAAACATTTGGACCATTCTTACCCGAAAGGTGTACCAACACTCCGGAGTTTACACCAAGGAGCACGCACGAATCAGAGGCATTTTTAGTTAGAGAGCGGAAGTATAGAAGCACGGACGTGATTGGAAATCTTGTAGTGAGTATGCCGAGGAGTGTGCAAGTTATGAGGCGGAATGACCAATGCACCCGGTGCTAAACTGACTTCACTGAGCAAATTCCGGGGAAGGGGAGGCAATACTTTTGCCGCGATAAAAATTGTTTTTCATATCTTCAGTAAAATACTTTGACGAAATCTCGTAGTTCAGCAGATTCATTTAGTTTCTGTATAAATTCTCAAAATGGTGATAATCATGCTCATGGGACCAGAGATAATTCAAAAAATCTAGTGGGAGTTGCGTAATATTTTTGTCGCGTGGAATATAAATGCAAAAACTTTAGGATGAATAATCGGACAGAATTGTGCTTCGGTTTTCTTTTCAATAACTAGAGGCGATAAATATTCTTCACTGCATTCAATTTGTGTTTAATCAATACCTTGATCTTAAGCACTTCGGGTGTTGCATTTGAGTCGAAGAACACAATTAATAAATCGGATTTTCGTCTGATACCCATCACATTATTTCGAAAAAGCGCAAAATTGTTTTTCAGTTATTCACTCTCAAGCGCTTTACGGATACAGGCAGTACTAGAAAACAGATCAGTTGGATACAACACCGACAATGGACAAGTGTTTGTGACAGTCAAGTTTCTGTTATCATCTGATTGATTTAACTAGCTTACGGTCTCAGGGTGACTGGATGGCGGAATCAATCTGTTGTGATCGATCACGGGTGATGATAGCTGGAGTGACTGAGTCAAACCGCTTTGGGCGTACATGCCAGGGGTCAAGTTTCTTATCCCGATCGCCTCGGCTATTTTTAGAGTGCGCGGTTGAACGCCCCTACATTTCCTGTGGGGAAACGATAAACAACTTTGGAAGCGAGGTCCAGATTTGCTTGATGTCTAGTGTTGACGAAGTGCGCTGTTTATCGATCCGATCTGTTTTAGTTTTAACTAACGTGGGTGATGCTGTTTCATCCAGATGCGAACACCAGTCCCTCGAGTTCAGTTGATTATATGTACCACCCGAATCAAATGATCGTCACTGGCGTATGTGTATGTCATTGGTAACATACTAGGGAGGAATTGAAATGTAACATAAACTGAATATACTCGTCAACCAACCAAGAACGCAAGGGTATACTGACGTTCCCCGTTGTCTGTCCCTTGCCAGAAGCACGGCATATCGTCAACAACACAACTGAATTTATCGTAATTTTCATTGTAAGCAACGCGGAAGGAATTGACACAATAATGGAAGCCAAATACAAGTAAGGAGAAATGACTGCTCTTGATCCCGGTCCTGGAAGGTTCTAGGAAAACCAAACCTGAAGATTCGAACTGGGAAATCCTTATACTTTGCCACTCATGATAGTTTGATGCCTGCAGTAGGCACACGGGAAGACACAGTGTTGCAATACACACTGTCAAACCACAGAATTACAAGTAAAGAATCGTATATCCGATAGGGCTGCGTCCTCAACATTTTATCGTTTGTTCAATCGTGCTGGTCATGTATTAGATTCAGTTGCATGGTTCAGGGTTGTCAGACTGCTCGTAAATAAACCATACGGGGAGGTGAATCCAAGAACATTGTCAATCAGTTGAGGGCTCTCTTCCAAGAAGACCACCAACCCCGTGAAACAAAAAATCCCACGAAGGTCTACTACGACTTAAATCCTAACAGAAAGTTGGAAATATATAATGCTCATCAGCTACTGCCTGAAATAGACCGTATAACATGTGCAACGTGAGTTGCCTGACATACGAGTAGGATTAATCTATGTCAAGAACCAGACTGATTGAAAAGATTACCAAATACCATTGACATAACTCACGTGACGCTTTTAGCTGCTAGACATGGCCCGTCACCACTGGTTTTTTCTCTTACCTTAAGGACGCATTTTCGTGGTTTTCAGAGATAGCACGAGACAAAACTGAATACTCCTACCGTATCTGGGGGTAATATGAAAAGAAAACGAACACAATAAAAAAAATAGATTACAAAAGACAAATATCTAGATGTCTGTTAATCTGGGACAAAGGAATCAGCACTGAGCAAACGGGGCATGTTGTCAGATTGGGATTGTACACGGATTCATGTTCCATTTCTGGAGATGGAGATAGATCGACATAAGCACTGGGATCGACGACCTTAGCCAGTGGACGTTTGGCCAGTTCGGTTTTCGAATCCAGCATTAACAATCTGCTTTCATTAGGCTTGCAAACTCCACCCAAAACGTGACCAGATTCTGGCCAACAATGCTCCGGTTGAGTAGGAACAGGTTGGAGATCGGATTGGGACGGGGACCGGTTAACGGACTCCGCTTTTGGATTGTCATGTGAAACCGAGGTGGATGCAATAGCAGTGGAAGTATGTAAAAACGAGCGGATGTCACTAGCCGGTTTTTCGCCTGGAAAGCATGAAATAAATTGCACGATCACCGAGCGCTGATGGAAGCAACCCGCAGATTACAAAAGTAAGGGAGAAAAACATAAGTTTATTTGTTGAACAGATATCAGGCTAATCAGTTTTCGGGCAATGAACCGCAATGGTTGAACTATCTCAGTAATTTGCTGTCTACTTGCCAAAAACGGAGATCAAGAAGGAATTTCGTTGACTAAAATCGTCATGCTGGAGCTGAATATTCACCTCTCTGGATGTTTAAAGTATTTTTTTAATGAATCTAGGAAAAGCACGTAACTCGAAACAGCTCAGTAAATATCAACATTTAAAGCAGTGGCAGTTAAGTGAGAAAAACGTAGTGGTGCTCACCGAAGCTGTGAACAAATACCTACTGTGATTTGTTGATCGTGACAAATGCGCTCAAACCATTTCCACTGGGATAACACTGATATGAGATTGATATTTTAGCTAATTCAAAGGCCGAATCCGTCTAGGAATAAAAAATCAAACAAGACAGTTTCCACCAAATGCGATAAGCAGATGATTGCGAGTCAGATGGAAACTCACATCTTCGTGGGACAAGATGAGCAAGTAGCACCACCTTAATAAGTTAATAGTGGCCCGCCGTGTGAAGTGATTCCGTGGTAGGTGAACAAGGGAGGCAGACTAAATATATTCCCATTTACCAAAATCTCTTGATTCAGTATCAACCACAAGATTTGAAGACGTTTTTGTGGACTTTCCCCAGATAGTGTTAAATGTTCCCCAGTATTATTATTTAATCGCCTCGGAGGTCCAACAATACAAGCCCAATCGTAGCAGAACTGCACACTACTACGCGCACCAATAGGTCGCGGGTAGGAAAGGTGTCACTTGGATCGGTTGTGGATAGATGGACACTAATGAAACACCGCGGGCGATTAACGAGGGTGTGATCGCCGCTTTTCTATAATTGATGATTACTATCCATTAAATGGCGATATCAATCAACACAAGCTAAATTTATTTCGTTGACGCTGAGCGACTTGTATTGGTAAAACTACAACGATCATCAATTTGAAATACGATATTTCTTACACACTGTCTATTATCTGAACTCGGGCCTGAAGTTCGCATCAGGGAATTAACCAAACACCAGACAACAGTCTTTTACACCAACAATGAACTCACCGGAACTTTCCAATATTCTTTTCTTTCTGCAAATGGCAGATAAAGTGGACGATTTGCTCGATGAGCTTTTCTTACCACCGCTGCCGGATCGTTTCACTTTTTCTGGCTCCTTGATTTTAACAAAATGTCCTGTCGGGGGAGATGAGAAAATTAAACTCGGTAAAGTTGGACAATGGAGTTGGCGGAATAGATCGCAGCAAATGATAGTGTTCATTGCGATCCGCGACTATCGACTCTGTAGGTCTAGTCAGAACATAGTCTATCCAATAACAGTTATAGCGGGGAACTTCTGACCTATTTGACATATTTCGTAGGCCATGTGTGGTTTTTGACAAAGTTCTGGTAGCTCGGGTGAACTGAGTTCCATTTCGCCTGTTCGCCGAGCTTGGCAAGTTATTTGCAAACGTTTCATCATCAACCGAAGTGACATTGTCAATGCGTGTGAAGTGGTGGTGGTGTGGTTTGTAAGCTGAGATGAAGCAGAGGAATATATTCAACGACTGATTCGTTCATCGAACGGTATATTTTTTCAATCATTTCATATTATTTTTATCCGCGATGTATAGAGAGCTGTGTTACGTCACCAATCTGCACCGGAGCGCGGTACCCATGATCCGAGTTTCTATTATTCCTAAGAACAGTCACATGGCCTTCACACAAAATATTGGGAGACAATGGTTGATAAGCCATCTAATAATCTATTCATCTATTGTACAGATTTGGCTTTCGCTGTACAGTAATTTGCATAGATGTTGATCGAGGAACAACGGTTAACATAGACCTACACTAAATCCTTTTTGTGAAAGAATTTCATGGCGAACAAACAGTTTTAGATAGCTATTTCCTTCTTGTTGGAACTTATACGTAGTGCGCATTGCTCTTTATGCTGCCGGAAACGTAACCTTTTGGTTTCAACTTTTACACCCACCAACCACGTGGAGAAGTAAAAAGGAGATTTTGGTTTCAACGTCAAGATGCAGTTTCGTCGTGATGGTTAAATCTCAGGTAAGAGTATGCAGTAAGAACGTCCAACTATGCACTGTCACAATGATCCTTTCGAATAGAATGATCAATGTAAAAATATGTTCAGGTACCCGAGTTCGAGTCGAGAGGAATATCTTAATCTCTTCTGAGTTATCATCATCGTACAGCGAAATACCGTGAAGCGAACTTCACTGACCGCTGCCAAACTCACAATGCATACAACGTTAGTGGTAAAATTTAAGGTGGACAGGGGTTGGATCTATTTTGAGGAAGGGAGAAGAAGATGAGCCACTAT